GCTAGCCCGTAAGATTCCTGTATTTGAACTGTCTATGGACGATGCTCGTCAGTATGCTTTGTATGCTGATGTTGACTATAGTGCTGATGGATTTGTGTGCTCGCGTGTTCGTAGTCTAGGATGCTTGCCTCCTGTTAGTGTAGACCTGTGCCTCTCTAGTCTAGGTGCTTGTGTTTCTGCTCTAGGTGCTTGTGTAGCCTCCGGACCTGACACGCCTCCGGCTAAGGCGTCTCTGTCATTCACGCTGGACTCTGGCGCGTCGCAGTGTTTCTTCCGCGACCACACGACCCTCACACCACTTCTTGCTCCGGTTCCGGTAGCTTTGGCTGATCCTTCTTCAGGACCAGCCGTTGCGCGCAGCTCCACCACCCTCCCGTGCCCTGTGGTCCCCTCTGGTGTCTTGCGCGGCCTCCACATCCCCTCGTTCACTCGGAACTTGGTGGGTGTTGGATACCTCCAGGACAGGGGGATCACCGTTACCTTTGTGGGGGGGGGGCGGACTGCAGTCTGTACTGACGCTACCACAGGTGCTGTTCTGGCCACGTTCACCAGGGAGCCCCGCTCCGGTCTCTACGTTCTCCACACCGAGCGCTCCCCGGTCGCGTCCTCCCCTCAGGTTGTTGCGTCCCCTCCGGCTCAGGTCCCCAGTCCAGTTGCTGTGTCTAGCCAGGTAGTCGTGTCCAGTCCGGTCGCTGTGTCCAGTCCAGTCGCTGCGTCTTGCTCCTGTCGCTCTCTCGCCCACTGCACCGTCCTGTGGCACCACCGTCTTGGCCACCCGTCGATCCCTCGCCTTCGTGGCATGCTCAGTCAGGGACTAGTCACAGGTCTCCCACGCACCTTCCCGTCGCTCCCTCTCTCGCTTGCCCCTCCTTGCTCTCCGTGCGTCGCCGGTCGCTTACGCGCCACTCCCCACTCCTCCTCCCTTCGTCCGGCCACCGCTCCCTTCGAGACTCTCCACTTGGACGTCTGGGGCCCTGCCCCGACGCAGGGGTCTGGGAGGGAGCGTTACTTTCTGGTGGTCGTCGACGACTTCTCCAGGTACACCACAGTGTTCCCTCTTGCGAAGAAGTCCGAGGTGACTGCTACGCTGATCAGGTGGCTTCTAGCCACTGAGGGCACTCGTGGTCGTCGAGTCAGTTGTCTTCACTCCGACCGTGGGGGCGAGTTTCGCTCCGGCATTCTCGGCGGATTCTGCGGCGAACAGGGCATCACCCAGTCCTGGACGCTGCCAGAGTCCCCACAGCAGAATGGGGTTGCTGAGCGCTGCATAGGCTTGGTCATGGACATCGCCCGCACGTCCATGATTCATGCCCGTGCGCCCCATTTTCTGTGGCCCCACGCGGTTCGCTACGCCGCACACCAGCTGAACCTCCAGCCGCGTGTCTCGCGGCCCGAGGCTTCACCGACCAGTCTTTGGACTGGATCCCCTGGTGTTGGGTCGGCCTTTCGAGTCTGGGGCTGCCTTGCACTTGTTCGCGACACCTCCGCGGACAAGCTCTCGGCACGCGCCGTCCCATGTGTCTTCCTTGGTTTCCCAGTGGACTCTGCTGACTGGTCCTTTTACCACCCTCCCCTCCACCAGTTCCTAGACTCCCGTGACGTCCGGTTTGACGAGTCCGTGTCCTACTACACCCGGTACCCCTGTCGAGGTCTCCCGGTACCCCCTCCCCCTCTCTTCCTCGCACCCTCTCCTCCTCCTGCTCCCGCTCCTCCGGTACCCCCGCCCCCCCCAGGTCCTGCCCCGTCTGGTGTGTCCCACGCTACCCCTCTACCCTCGGTCGCGCGTCAGGTAGCGTCTCCCTCCCCGCAGTCCTCCTCACAGTCCCCTCAGCAGCCTTCGGCACTTCCGCGACAGGTTACTTTGGACTCGGTTGGTGTTGGAGCTGGAGGTGCAGCCGCTGGCGGTGCTTGGTCTGGGGGTGCTCGGTCGCGGGGTACTGGAGCTGGAGGTGCTGGCGCACGTGACGCTAGCTCTGGGGGTGCTGGAGCTGGAGGTGCTGGCGCAGGTGGCGCTAGCTCTGGGGGTGCTGGAGCAGGAGGTGCCGGCACTGGAGGTGCTGGTTCTGGGGGTGCTGGAGTTGGGGGTGCTGGCACTGGCGGTGCTAGTTCTGGGGGTGCTGGAGTTGGAGGTCCTGGCACTGGCGGTGCTGGTTCTGGGGGTGCTGAGTCTGAGGGGACTGACGCTGGAGACCCTGGTTCTGCGGAGTCCACTCCGCCTCCCCACCGCCACGACACGCGTCTCCAGGCTGCCCGTCGGCGTGAGCGTGAGGAGCAGGAGTGGTTGGAGAGGGAGCGGCAGGAGCTGCGGGTGCTGGACCTTCTGGAGCAGCAGCGGCAGCAGCAGCAGCAGCAGCAGCAGCAGCAGCAGCCGCAGCCGCCGCCGCAGCCGCAGCAGCAGCAGCCGCAGCCGCAGCAGCAGCGGCCGCAGCCGCCACCGCAGCTTCCTCTGGAGCGGCGGTTGTTCCCACCTGTGAGTGGCCTGCGGGCCCTTGGCCTTTCCTCCTCTCCTCCTGTCCGCTCCCAGTCTCCTCCTGTGTTTGTTCCTCCGTTGCCTCCTCCTGACGACCGTCCGGCGGTCTGGTCTTCTCCTCCTCCCTCTGTCCGTCGCGACCTGATCACTCGTTGTCCTCCGCGTGCTCGTCACTCGTCCCCTGTTACTGACCTCCACACTGCCCTCCTTTGTTCGTCTCGTCGTCGTTCTCCTTCTCCTGTGTCCGTTCTCCCGTCTCCTCCTCCGTCCTCCCTACCAGCCCTCCCCACTCCTATCTCTGACTACTACCGCGTTGTTCGTCCTGTTGCCGCACGTGTCCTCGCCACTCTTGTCACCGACTCTCGTTTCCCTCCGTCGTCTGCCTCGGCTCTTACTGCCGCTGTCGCTGAGTTTGCTGCCGCCAGCCACCTTGACTACGCCACCCGTGTGGTGCCAGCTCCTCCCTACCGTCCTCTGTCCGTCGGGGGTGGGTTTGCCCTTGGCTGTGACGTCCTAGAGGACAGAGAGTCTGAGCTGGAGTACTGGGCAGCCGCTTCTCCCTCTGTGTGTGCCATGCTGCTCTCCCCTGAGGGAGACCCCGACGCCCTTGACATACCGACTCCTCGCACTTACCGCGAGGCAGTGTCAGGGGCGTGGGCCTCTCAGTGGAAAGCGGCTATGGACTCAGAGTTGGCGTCTTGGAGATCCACAGGCACCTACGTCGACGCAGTTCCCCCTCCCAGGGCGAACGTAGTCGATGGCATGTGGCTCTTCAAGGTGAAGCGGCCGCCTGGAGCACCGCCGGTGTTCAAGGCGCGCTACGTGGCTAGGGGCTTCAGTCAGCGTGAGGGAGTTGACTTCTTCCAGACCTTCGCCCCGACCCCGAAGATGACTACTCTTCGGGTGTTACTCCACATAGCAGCGCAGCGAGACTACGAGCTGCACTCCCTCGACTTCTCCACTGCGTTCCTCCAGGGCCGACTACACGAGGAGATCTGGCTGCGCCGTCCTCCTGGCTTCACTGACACCTTCCCACCTGGGACCCAGTGGAGCCTGAGGCGACCAGTCTACGGTCTCCGCCAGTCGCCCCGTGAGTGGCACGACACTCTTCGCTCCACGCTTCGTGACCTTGGGTTCAGCCCGTCCTCCGCCGACCCGTCGCTGTTTGTTCGAGCGGGTTCTACTCCTTTCTTTATCCTTGTCTATGTCGACGACTTGGTGTTTGCTACAGCAGACAGGGCAGCCCTGGCTCAGGTGAAGTCCGAACTGCAGAAGAGACACAAGTGCACTGACCTGGGTGAGCTGCAGCGCTACCTTGGCCTGCAGATCACCCGGGACAGAGCCGCTCGCACCATCACACTGACGCAGTCACACATGGTGCAGCAGATCCTTCGGCGGTTCGACTTCCAGTTCTCCACCACACAGCCCACTCCTCTTGCTGTTGACCACAGACTCACGGGCCCCTTTCCTGACGAGCCCTTTGAGTCCAGTGGACCCTACGCAGAGCTGGTGGGCTGCCTCATGTACCTGATGACTTGTACTCGACCGGACCTCGCCTTTCCACTCAGCATCCTTTCTCGCTTTGTTGCGACTGGGAGACACCGCCCTGTCCACTGGACAGCTGCTGTGAGGGTGGCGAAGTACCTGGCGACTACATCAGGCATGGGGCTTGTGCTTGGAGGGACTCAGCCAGTGGCGTTGACTGGTCACTGCGACTCTTCCTACGCTGACGACGTGGAGACTCAGCGTTCGACTCAGGGTTACTGCTTCAGTCTGGGAGCTGGTGCTGTGTCGTGGAGGTCTACACGGTCGTCGTCTGTGGCTACTTCCTGTGCAGAGGCAGAGATCTACGCTGGTGCCATGGCGGCACAGGAGCTTCGCTGGTTGACCTTCTTGCTCGCCGACCTTGGTGAGCGGCCTCGCTCTGCACCGACCTTGTACGCTGACAACAAGGCCATGATCCTCCTGTGTCGAGAGCCTCGACTGGAGAGCAGAGTGAAGCATATTGACGTGAGGTACTTCCTCCTGCGAGAGTTGCAGCGACGCGGTCAGGCACGTTTGGACTTTGTGGCCTCACAGGCCAACACTGCCGACGTCTTCACCAAGGCCTTGGCGCCTGGTGACCACCACAGGTTCTGTGTGCAGTTGGGGCTTGTTGAGGTAGGCCCTCGGTTGCTGTAGACTTGCTGTTTGCTCTACTTGTTGTGCTTCTATATATACTAGTAAACTCTTGAACTGGCCTTGTGGCCACTTGCTTGTGCTCGGAGTGTGTGGTGACTCTGAGCGCCACCCTGAGCTTTGTTTTTTATGCTTGTTCTTGACTGGTCTTGTGACCCCTTGTTTCCGTTGGTTGTTTTGATGCCCCTCACTTAGCCTATGGGGGTGTGTCAAATGTTTATATATTCTATATATTGTTAGATAGGCTACTGTGAGTTGCCCTCTAAAGGGTACAACACTTTAGGTCGACATTTGTATCTCCTTGTCCCTCCTTACTCAAACATTACTCTCGACACTTGTCTCCTAGCCTATCTTAAGACATCAGGCCCATGTGAGCACCCATTGGGCCCAGCTTGCCCGGCTCACACACTGGATGCAGCATCATGGGCACAGCACGAGGAGAACCAGGAGGAGCAAACCCAAGAGGAGGAGGAGTAGCGGCTGCCTGCCGGGCAGCTGAAGAAACCATCGATACTGATGCTGACGTGGCGGCGGTGGATTGGGTGGCGCCAGATGCTGCCATGCGGTGGACCTCGTCTTCCAGCTGCTGCTTGTTGGCCAGCAGGCGCGCCCTCTCCTCCCTCAGCTCACTCTTCTCCGCCTGTGCACAGACGGGCAGCGTGTATGGCACAGGAAAGGGGTGACTTAGAATCGACTCAAAAGGCAGGCGAGCCCTCTCCTCCCGCAGCTCACTCGTCTCCGCCTGTGCACAGGGAGAAATGCACAGGGGCAGCAGGGCAATGCGTTGTTGCGTATGGGCAAGGGGTGACTTTTGACTGTATGCACGGGCAATGTGTATAGGACCCCCCAGGGAAAAGAGCACAGGCAGAATCACAGACAATGGCACAAGCGTGGCACGAGACTTGATACGAACGACAGCCCTTCCTGCTTCCATGCTCTATTCCTCCCTCCTATCGCCCACAGCACACCTCCCTCTCTTGCCTTGCCACCCCTTCACCACCCCTCTCCACTTCCCCAACACCCTCCCCCTCCACCCCCCTCCCCACCCCCCTCCTCACCTTGAGCTCGCGGATGTGCTCCCTCATGTGCTCCGCGGAGCCCCTCAGCTGCGCCGTCTCCCCTCAGACTCCCCTTTCCCCCTTAGTTCCCCCCTCCTCACCCCCCTCCTCACCTTGAGCTCTTGGATCTGCTCCCTCATGTGCTCCCTCATGTGCTCCCTCATGTGCTCCGCGGAGCCCCTCAGCCGGCTCGTCTCCGCCCGCAGCTGCGTCAGCACGCGCACCGCGTCCACCAGAATGCTCCCCCTGTCCGCGCGCGCCAGCTCGCTCCACGCCAGCGCCCGCGCCAACTCTTCGAACCTGTGGTAGGGGGGAGAGAAACAGGCGGGTTTGGCGGAAGGGTGGAAGGAGGGGTGGATAGCAGGCGCAGACAAGAGAGGGCGCGGGGGCACAAAGAACGGGATGAGGGGAAAAGGGAGGGAAGGGCAGAGCTGCAAGGAAAGGAACTATAAGGTGCCCAAAAAACAAGCGCTGGGAAAGGGTGATGGAGTATGAGTATCGAGAGCAGCACGCCGCACCGTGCTGAGTGAGCCACCACCAGCGTCGCACCTGTCGTTGAGTCGGTCGCGGCGAATCTTCTCCCGATTGGCCTTGCTGCTGCTCGTCTCGCTCGGCTCCTCTCGTTGCCTGGCCACACACGCGCGGGACGCCGGGGAGGGTGTGAGGAGAGGGGGAATGCGCCAGGAGAGGAGAAGTCGTGAGGCGGAGATGTGAGATGGGAAACGACGGAAGCATAGGAAAATATGAGCATGCAAGTTAGTTTGTTTACTGGACACGCATGGAAAACAATAATGATCGGCCACTAACGTGGCAACATTGCTTCAGGACCAATGAGGTCACGGTAAAGACGTAAGGAAGAGAAGCGAGACAAGCGAAAGGACTTGCCGTTTGTGGGAGGCAGCGCCGCCAGTGCGATATTCGTCGTCCTTGCGACTGCCGTGCGACGAGTCCTTGCAATGCGACGCGGGCTCCTCGTCCGGGGCACGAGTAAACGTCCTGCACAGGGGGGAAGGGGAAACGGGAGAGAAGGAGAGAAACGAATACCCGTTGAGTGAGCAACGACGGCCCAATCACGGCGAGGAGTCACGAAATGGCACCGCTGCGGAGTGTGAATTGTAGGCGCGATTACACTTACCTCTCGGAATCCTGACACGCGGAACCATGCTGCTCGGCCAGCATATTCTCAAGTAGTGTGGAACGCCCGTCACCGTCAACGTGAACGATGACGGAATCCGTCAGGTCGTTCATCCACTGACACTGGCTGGTAGGGAACGACCCAAACAGCGCCGCCATGAGGGTGCGAAAACCGGCGGAAAGGGCGGAAAGTAAGGGCTTCCGGCGTAAAGGGATTCAGCGCCTGGCGGGAGAGGCGGGAATGACAGGTGAACGCGGCGCGAAGAGGCGTGAATGACGCTTGTCTGTTTGGCGAGTCGTGCGGCGGATGAGGGGTGAAGTTCAAGTATTTGGTGACTGGATGAGGAGTGACGACCGGCAGGCGATTGGTGACGGGAAACAGGACGGGTGGTGACCGGATGGACAGAAAAGACTCTATTCGGAATAGCGCCCACTGCGGAGAGCATGTGCGGACCGAAAGCACTGTCGGAAGCGTTCGGGTTTGAGACTAAATGAGTCGACAATGAGGTGATGTAAAATAAGGGGGAACTAGGCGGCAAGACAAGAAGCACGGTGCAAGGCAGGAGCGTCGCTGTCTGCCTTGCACGTGTGCCGCTCCTGGCTCTGTTTTGCCGCTCTAGTCGAAACCTTCTAGAAGGTTCCATCTCTCCCAAACACATTTAGGACCAGATATTGCTGCCGCCGCCGCCGAGTGGTAAAGGTAGGAGGGATGACAACGGCCGACCCTTGCACGTGGACGGGCCCTATCACCCTTTTGCTCAACGTCCGTACGATCGGCGAGCATAGCAAGCCGCGTACACGCAGCGGAAGCCACGTCACCCACCCTGCTGGTTTACAGTAACGAAACAGCAGCACGGCAGCGAAACGCCTCGCCTACAAGCCGCTCGCATCGCAAGGCGGCCACCCCGCTAGCGCTGCGGCTGGTTGAGTAAGGTAAAGAAAGTGAGTAGCGAATCGTCGTGTCGAGGTTGGTCAAGAAACCGAAGCAAGGGGAAAAGGGGACAGAGTAAGGGGGGTGGGGGTGGGGGTGGGGGGAGGGGGTGAGTGGGAGAGGGCTTTGAAGGGGGGACGTCCCTTCTCGCTTCGTCTTGTCTTCCCCTACTCACCTTTTCTTCTCCACACATACCTTATAAGCAGATGTCACAAAACGCTGGGTCGCCTATCTCTCGATGTTGCGCCCCCTGCTCACCTATCCCTATTGGCTTACGACGAGGTGAACTTTGCGTGACTCAAGGGTCACTCTCTAAAAGTGGTGAGGATGACGTCCCCCTCTCCTCCCCCCCCCCTGGATCTTAACCAATTCCCGACGCGCAGCCGCCTTTTCAAAGCTTCCCCTTCACCCTCCTCCCCCCACCCCTTCCCCCTCCAGCCATTTCCCCCACTTCCTTCCCCCTTCAATTACAGTACGACTGTGGGAATGTGTTTCATCCCACTTCTCCCCTGCCGAAACCGGAAAAAGATTCCGCACAACTCGAGGAGATTCCGCGCTAACTAGTGAAGGTTTGGGTGGGTGCGTCGGCTCGGCGCCAATCCAGATCAGACCGGCGAACCGAGCCAGTCGTCACCCACTCTACGGGCCGAGGGTTCTACTCCACAGTCCCAAGGGCCTGGACCCGGACAGGGCCCATGCCCTCGGCGATGTCACCCAGGCCGGGGCACACACGGGAACCCAACCCAGTCCAGAACAGACCGGGGAACAGAGTCAGCCGTCAATCGAACACTATTCCCTTGACGGATTACAGTAGATTAAGCTCCGAGACCCAAAAACGACAGAACGGCGTTATGAGACAGTGTGGCCTATGCTGATCTGACTAAGTCTAAACTGACTGACAGAATCCAATCCTAAGTACGTGACGAAATCCGAAGGGACTGTGAAATGCTGGGCCGCTGTTATGAGTGCAATTGAGTGAGCGAGCGAGGATTGCACTATCGAAGCAATAGTACAATTAGCTAAGGAATGAGAAGAATATATAGCAAAACTAGAGTGGTAACAGTAATGTGTGAAAAATGGGGTGCGCGACGGGCCTAGCGCCGAGGTTGGGAATTGTCGAGGCGGAGGTCCGGAGCGCAGGTTACCAACCGAACCGTGAGGTTGGGTCGCGTCGTGAACAGTGGCGGGGATAGTGTAGAGGCGAATGTCGCGAGTGGTAACGGATTATTGTTGGGTGCAGTTGGCGGGAAACAGTGGTGTACGCGCTGAGTAGGGACGCGAAGTAAGGAAAAGGATTTTTCCTTACACTAACCCCCCTCCTTACGAAAGCGCGTGTACATCCCGGAAATTTCGGCTGCGCAGATACTCGGTGAGGACGGGGTGGTTTTCAACTCTGTCCAGGGGAACCCATTTGTCTTCAGTGGGCGTACGGTCTTTCCACCGGATCAGAAATTCGATCCTTCGAGCTCCCCGTGGGTCACGAACTCAGTGGCTCATAATCTTTTCGGGCGTGATGATTGGTTCTGTCGGCGGTCGTGTCATGCTGGCTGGGCGGTTGCGGGGCTGTTGGCTGGTCGATGGTACGTAAGGCCGAAGCAGGCTGACGTGGAAGGACGGACTGACGTACCAGTCAACAGGGAGGAGGAGGTGGGCGGTGACGGGTGTGATCATGTGGCTGATGCGAAATGGCCCGCAATATCGGGGGCGGAGTTTCGGGGTGAAGGGCAGACGGAGGTTTTAGGTGTCGAGTAAAACTAGGTCGTCGGGTTGGTAAGTGACAGGTCTGCGGTGGCGGTCGGCGTTGCGTTTAGCGATGACTGTTGGGCTGAGAAAAGCCCTTAGGAACCTTTCAGGACTAAGATCGGGTATTGATGTAGAGTTGTAACAGCGGAAGTCTTCAATGAAGAGTTGACGTGAACCACCTTGTACTAGTTTGTGAGAACAAGATAAGTTAAATAATAGCAAGAGATACAGGCCTTTTATATGATTACAGGGAATATAAAGAGTTCTAATTTAACTGTTTTGGCTGTTGCGGTTTGATACAGTGCCGACTCGGGTAACTGCTCTGTAACGAGTCAGTTATGTGTCCTTGCTGTCGCACTGTACATTTCGTCAGGTCAAAGGTCGGAGACCTTTGGCCTTCGCGTAACCTCCGACAGTTGACTCGGGTGCTTCTTCGCTGTAGTCAGTTCCGTTTTTTGTGTTGCAGCTTCGATACGATAGAGGCGCTATAAATTACTTGTTTCCAACACTCCCCTTCGCTTCTGGAGGATCGTTGCTGATGGCGTGTCCTTGTCCAGTCAGCAGCATGCAGTACTCGAACTTCTGTTTTCCGAGTTTCTTGGTCAAGTAGTCGGCTGCCATCTCGGATGTGGGACAGTAGGATAGTTCGAGTCTTCCCTTTTCGATCTCGTCTTTCACGAAGAAGTACCGAAGGGCGATGTGCTTCGTTCGATTCGCGAACCCGTTTTTGTTTGCTATGCGAATGGCCGATTGGTTGTCGCAGAAGAGAGAGAAATTGGGTAACTGGGCCAATTTTGCTTCTTCCAGTAGTTCGCGAAGATATAGCCCTTCCTTGGTTGCTGAGCAGAGTGCGATATATTCTGCTTCTGCTGACAAGAGAGCAATTAGCTCTTGCTTGTTCGACTGCCAAGAGATAGGCCCGATAGGTTCGAGTCTGTAGACATAGCCGGTTCGAGACCGTCTGTTGTCTGAATCTCCAGCGTGATCGGCGTCGACGTAGCCAATTAGTTTAGGAGCTGCAGTGTTGGTTTTGTGGTAGGTGAGTCCGATTGTCGGAGTACTGACGAGGTAGTGAAGCGCTCGATCGAGTTCGAGCATGTGATCTGCTTCAGGCTTCTTGAGGTAGGTAGCGAGTTGGCTAGCTGAGTAGGATAGATCCGGTCGGCAGGTGACGGCTGCGAAGAGCAGGCAGCCTAGCTTCCTTTGGTAGTCGCGGACGCCAGCAGGTTTGAGTAGGGCGGAGGTCTTCCGATTTCCGTCGGTGTAGCGGTATGGTGTGGAGATGGTGGTTGGGGTGAGTCTGAAGCGTTTAGCAATAGTGTAGGAGTATTTTGCAGCGCTGAGGTAGATGGCATTGTCGCCGTCTTCGATGTTCAGTCCTAGGTACTGTGTCACGGTGGTTGCGACGGTGAGGGTTAGGTCTCCCTGCAGCTCCCCTTCAAACCACGTTGTTACCGCGTCGGTAGAACCTATGTAGAGAAGATCATCGACGTAGACGATGAGTAGGATGTAGTCGGTGTCTTTCGCCAGTCGATACATCCCTTGGTCGTGTGGTAGCTGGAGAAAACCGATGTGAATGAGGCGGGCGTGAAGGTGTTGTTGCCATAATCTCGGGGCTTGCTTAATCCCGTATAGTGACTTCTCCAGTTGACAAATTTGGTTGGGGCCTGCGTTGGATCCGTGTGGGAGTTCGACGAAAATCTCAGCATCGACGGGGGCGTAGAGGAAGGCGTTGGCGACATCGATTTGTCGAAGCTTCTTTCGGTTCATGGCGGCGATTGCGAGAAGGATCCGTAGTGAGGTATGTCGGCTTACTGGGGCGAATGTCTCCGTGAAATCTCGCCCTTGCTCTTGGTCAAAGCCCCGCACGACCCAGCGTGCTTTGAACTTGTCGATTGTTCCGTCAGCTTTTGTTTTCACGCGGAAAACCCATTTTCCCGTGAGGACAGTTTTGTTGCGTGCCACTTCGATGGGCACGACTTTCCAGGTGTTGCGCTCCTGCAGCGCCTTCAGCTCTTTGTCCATGGCTTCACGCCATTTTTCCCTGTGTTCCCCCCCCAGAGCCTGCTGAATTGTCGCAGGCTCCTTAGGTGGTTCCGCTCCGTGGACGGCGGTGACAAGTCCCAGTATCTGCAGGCCACTCTATGTGTAGCGGGGAAGATTTGTGTCCTCTGGATAAACTGCTTTGTCTCCAGCTTCGGGATCTGGTAAGAAGTTTGGTCCTATGCGTTCGGAGATGTTGGTGTCGACCGGTTGAGGTGTAACGTAACCGGTGTCGGCGAAGTTGAAATAGGTTTCGGCGTTGACGCTTTCGCGAGGATTTTCGTCGTCCATTGGGATAGGCACGCAGCAGTATGGGAGTGGTCCTGCTTCTTCGGATGCATTGTCCACATTTTGCTCGTCCCAGTCAGCTTCGTCTGCTGCTGAAGCAAAGGCTCGGTTGCGACGGAAGCCGCCCGTGAGGTCTCGGTTTGCTGCCAGGTTG